ATAATTTTAACTCATTAAATACTGTGATTATATAATGAATTGTAAAGAATATAGCTAATTAAATTAGTTGTGTACAACAATGATAATATTGATCTGTAATTTGTCAATTACAAATGACAAACATTAACTGTGAAATAGCTTTTAGCTATTATAATAACAATTATTACTTTAGAGATATTTAATTACTAACTCGTATTATGATAATTCCTTTTTTTTTTTGACTACCCGGTGTGTTTCGTAGAAGAACGAAAGTGATAAACGTTGATGAGTAACATATCTAACATCATTCATGTAGAATAGAAACTAGTCATTACAGGTTCTTGAATTTTGAAAATATTTATTGATAATGTTTAGATAAATTAATAATATAAGTAATTTATCATTACAAGACTTGAATACTCTAGTCATTAATGTGTGCAATGCATGAATACTATTTTTTAAAATATTTTCTTTTTATTTGTCCTGTGGCTTCATATAAGTCTATTAGGTTCCTTGTTTCGTTCAATCACTAGCGCGTAGATAGTAATGCATGTAAGTGCAAAGCATCTCCTTCCATCCACTTTTTAAATAAGAATAGGATGAATAACTGTCTGGATTCTGACATGATGATTCAACCAGAAACCAAACAACGATGGTGTAAAATGGCGTTGCTAAAAATTTTGCTAATGAGGGGAAGTGCTATAAGCCTTCTAATATACTCCTCTGGTTATACCACTGATGGAGTAGCTAGTATGGCTTTAGCATTAATCAGTGCTAAGACCAAACTACATTTCAATTTGTTTAATGAAGAAAGTTAATTTTTTTAATCATATAATAAATAAGTAAAAATTATAGATCTAGGTACCTAATACACAATATTTTGAGGCTTGATAAACCAAAAATATTTTGTTTTCAAAATAGTAGTTTTTAAAATGTCTAGAAAAATAGTCATACATTAATATTTTTCTTTAAATTTTATAAAATGTTTCATTCATTTCATAACTAAAAAATTCCATAGTTTAAATATCAAGTATGTGAATTTTACTCACTTACCAGTAAATAAACCTCAGTAAAAATTACAAATTTCATACTCAACAAATAATTCTTCCATTTAGTTGCAGCATGCACTAAATTAAGCAACTCCGACTTGTGTTTGAATGGTACTTTGGTTATGACAGGGGTGGTAGTATTTCGAATCCACATACCGGTTTCTTTTTTAACTTGAAAACCGGTTTTATTCGGTGTAACGAATATTTTGATATTTGCAGTAAATATCTTTTTTTGTGATTACAGTTTTCATCAACAAATACATTTTTAATTGATAGTTATAATTCAATTAGTATTTTCCATATGTATATACTCATTAGTAACTATTGTTAATTTGATATAGTATTGTAATCATCATATTATTTTATTGTTAATTTTGGCTAATTTTATACATGTTTAGATATTATGTTAAGTGCAATTTTTTTTAATTACTTCTTAAATCAATGTTTTACATAACATTCTGATCTTATACATTGTTGCGAAATCATTTTAATTGTAAGTATACTATTTATATTAGTGAAAGTAACAAAAAAAATATTTAGACTTTATGTTATTAACAGTTGTTTGGTGAGTATAAAAATGTATAGAATCTTAAAAGAATAGTGAATATTGAATTATAAGATTACAAATTCATTAGAGAATTTAATTAATTACTGTGTTTTATATAGCCAGTGTACTAATTATCAAAAATGTGAATACAGTTAACAATAGTTGTCATGCAGTTGCTACGGGTGATGCCCAATTTAAATTATCCCGAAACTAAATCCTTCCTAATTTCAGTTGAAAGAATAATAACTATAATAAATTACAAAGGTTGTACACAAAATAGAGCTCATTCATCATGTGAAACACATCATAAAGTGACGTGGATCAATACAAATCAAGAAGTAATAACAATAACACGTCTATCAAATTTAAAATTTTGTTGATAAAACTGTCTAATAATAAAAATGTAACACAATTTCAACTCGTGAACCATATTTAATTTAATAAAAAATATTTTATTTTTTTGTTATTTTACCCTATTATTTTTTTATTAGTTAATTTCCTTAATTTATCAAGACACCTTTATAAATGTATTTATATATTAATTATAAATTATTTTTACTTTACCGCGTGATTAACTTACGAGTCAATGATTTCCAGTAATTCAACAAAATTTGAAGAAACACTTTGTCAATATAATTCTTTTTAAGCAATATCGTTATCATTACAACTATTTCACCAAATACGTTAAAATTATTCACTGTAAGATTTTTCAGTTCATCTAGTTTTAATTATTAGTTAATAATTACACTGTAAAATCATCATGAAAATATAAAAAATAATTTATTTACTTCATTAAAGTGGATCCAAATGTTTAATAAGAGTTGTACAAAATTTGAGACTGTTCCATCAATTTTAATTGATTTTTTAAATCTTTAAAGTTGAGTTTCTTACAAATCTATACTTTCAAATAAAAATGATTTTTGGTTTAACTTATAATTATGAAAGTTCAACTAGCAAATAGAATATTTTATAAGAATTTAGAAAATATTCATTTTGATTAAATATAAAATAAAAAAAATTGCTGTTAATAGAAAAATTACGGGAAAATGTCGAAAATTCCCAACAAATACTAGTTTTTTTTATATAATTATCCAGTATTGTTTTATTTTGAAGTAATTTTGAAAAATTCTTGATATTTTATTATTTATCAAATTTTTTGCAAATAATTTTGATTTAATATAATTTTATTTTCTTATAAGAATTCCGTTTATGTAATTTTCTATTTTTTAATATTTTGTGTTTGATCGCGTTGTTATATCCAACAATAATCTGCCGTCATTGTAGCACTCTACTGTTCCTGATAACGCCTTTCCATGATTTTTCTTGTAATTTATTCCTCGTTTACTAGGACAATAACCTCTCCTTCGAAGATCTAAGGTTCTTTATATGGAAGCATTCACATATGAGTATTATTGTGTCAACTTTGAATTTTTTTTATAACAGTCTAAAAGCAATGAAACCGATAATTGAATAAATAAAACTCAACACTATTTATAATTTTACTAATGAAATATAATTAATTGCTAGCTGTAAAACAATTAAGATGCTACTGTTAGTTATCCAGATATTTTCAGGAAATCAAAATTAGCCGATTTCGTGTGTTAAGTATCGGTATAAATAAATTTGTTTAATCTAGAACCGATTGATTATGACGTTGCATAGAAAAACGATTTAACTTCTGTTCAAAATGAAAAGAAAAAACATTACCATTACTTCAAGGATTATAAAATCAATACATAACAATTAAAAAAAAATAAGCCATCTTTCGTATCATTGACACTAGATCTATTAATACAAGTTGAATGCTGTACATTATTTAACATTCAATAATATTTTGTAATCTGAACCTAAAATTAAACATAGAATTTTCTTTTCTTGTCAATTAAAAATAATTATTTCTATTCAAAAAGTTATTATTTTTTTAATAATAATAAAACAAAACAATATTGCTGCATACAACTTAACCCAACTGATACATCACAGCGAATTAAAAGAAAAGTAGAATAATGAAACTGATAAAGTATTACAATAATTTCATAGTGGCCAACTTTTTACCAAATGTATTTAGAAATATGTGTTAATTTTTTTGTCTATAAAAAGTAACGAGCAAGTTATCAAGGATATGATTAATGAGATACNAATAATTATTTCTATTCAAAAAGTTATTATTTTTTTAATAATAATAAAACAAAACAATATTGCTGCATACAACTTAACCCAACCCAACTGATACATCACAGCGAATTAAAAGAAAAGTAGAATAATGAAACTGATAAAGTATTACGATAATTTCTTAGTGGTCAACTTTTTACCAAATGTATTTAGAAATATGTGTTAATTTTTTCGTCTATAAAAAGTAACGAGCAAGTTATCAAGGATATGATTAATGAGATACTTCTTAGGCAATCGGAAAACATGATAATTATCAGAAATATTTTTGGCATCAAAACAGATTGTGGTTCATTGATCGTTACATCATAACACTTTGAATTAGCACATGTTACACTTGTTATACTGACCTGTTTTTGTGATTGGAAAGGTATAAACCTTCATAATAAGATCTCTAAGAAACTGGAAAAGAATAATTTGACAATATATTTTTTTGAATTTTTATCATTGCGGGATGCATAGCATGCATGTCATTCGTTGGTGAATTTAAGTCCAAGGATCTGGACACTTTTTCCACATACTTTTATGCGTAGGTATTTTATTGTATTAGACCTTATAATTGTTCATCTACTCCAAATATACTGAAGTAATATAACCAATAATCTCTTGTAATTTTTCTTTTAAATAATAATAATAAAAGATTTTCGGAATTATTATTATTTCTATGATCGTTTCGACGATTTCATGATTTTCGATCTTTACCATTGATATGAAAAATATTTATTTGGAACTAATCACTTTTTGTAATTTGGTTACATTTTAAATGAAAAGTGTTAATCATAAGAGCAAAAGAAAAACTGTTTCGATTTTCCACGGTGCGTTAATGGTGTGTGATATAATATCAGCTGTATGGACAGCTCGATTGGTCATAAAGTAAACATTACAATTGTTGTGTTGTGCGAAAGATATAAATGCGTTAATTGGATGTTCAGTGTATTGGCCATTGAAAGGCTTCCGGGATTTCGATATGCGTATGTGTGAAATTAACAATGAAATTCGTCTTGCGTCCCAATGGAGGCTTAAAGAAGACATTTAAATTATTATCGCGCGGACATATCGCGTCGTTACATATTGGATTTGAATATTGAGATTGACGAGTACGCACTAGGTGGGCACGGCGTCCGAGGAACGGTTCCGAGTTCAAATTGGCCAGGAGAAAGGGCCGTGGCCGACCGTGTACGGTTCATGTTGTGTAAGATCGCCTCGGTCTAAGTGGGGTCAATAATATCACACGGGTAAAAGCCTCGTGAGATGATACCAAGTATCGAGTGAGTGTGTGTTCAGTGGCGAACGTTCGTGAGAGTGCAAGTGGTTACAGTGAGAGTGATTGAACGTGGTGCGTGGGTACTTCGCGTGGTGGTTACTTATCGGCAGACCTAGTGTCCGTTATATTTTCCTGGTCCGAGTATCGTAATTACCGCTACGTTGCAACATGAAGGTAAATATATTTTATTTCAAACGAAAATCATCTTAAATTGAATACCAATTGCAATAGTTTTCAATTATAAACGAGTTCTCAGTAATATACAATCGAGTTTCCGATAAAGTTATTGTATCGAATATCGTTGGGATCAATTAATGTTTATTTTCTGATGTAAATAAGTTTAGGTGTTGATTATAAAAGCACGCGATTTTATACACAAACACAAAAACTTGTTAGAGAACAGCCAAATATGAGCGATTGTCATATTGATTTCTCTAGTTCAAGTTTCGTTAAGAAATTATGTTTTTTGAAAAAAAATATTATTTTGCGATTTATACAGAACTCTAGATAAAATACTAATAGTTAGTATTATTAGCTAAACGGTTTTCAGAAGCTTCTTCGACACTTCTATGTGATATCTTTTAATTATTCATATACTGTTAATTATTTCGTACAAATTATTAAATATTAATAATAAAATGTTGCTAATAAACTTATTATTAATAAATATTAATAATAAAACTTTTGGCCTAAAATAAAAAAATCGTTTTCTGCGAAAACACCATTGTATGGAAATACACAATTACTAGAAAAATCGCAGGGATCCGACTGAAGTAAACAAACACCCATTTTGAGTAAGGGCTCGATGTACGATCTGTATTGGCTCATTCGTTACGTAATAATTGTGTATGAGTGTACATCAAAGATGAAAATATAATCGAGTACACGTGTTATTTGATTTTAAGGTGAGCTTTTTAAACACCGAATGACTAGCTCGTTGGCGAATTTCCTTTAGCAGTACTATTTTAGAACGATTTAATTTAAAACGTGAAAGGGCATAAGACCAAACATGATTTGGTGCGATATCGTATAACTGAATAGCTAATTGTACTTAAATCATCACTTCCTAGTTTCTTGAACGTCATGTTTGTTAAATGAACAAATTAAACCATTCGGTACAATTGCGGTAGAGCAAAGCAATTATGATTTATTTTTTGTCTCCCAATCGCTGAACCGTTTACGATTTCAATTACTGATGTTAGCAACACAACTGCTATCAATCAATGTTACAACTACAGTACCTTGCGAAGTCTCACAGAAACAATTCTATTCTCTACTCCGGAAAGCCATTGAAACGAGAAAATGATTTCCATATGTTTTTGTTTTCCAATTGTACTATTACGTGTATGTATTTTGCCGCCAAACGTTAAAATGCACATGGTAATACTTGAAGGTGAAAGTCACAGTTGTAACGGCAATAATAAACGTTTAGCACAAAAAAAAAAAAAAAAAAAATAGTCGTAATATTAACGATACATACGATTTAATATCATTTATTGTAATAATAACCGATAGTTATTGCTGGCAAATCAATAACGATTGCATCTATTAATCGCAATCATACGTGCAGTTCTACTGAATTTTAATGAACAAAACTAATTGCTATTGAAATTAGTAGTAATATCATAATTGAAAACAGAAATGAAAACTATTACTAATGCAATACATAATGTGCGCAGTGGGAATAATTCGCCTGACAACCACTGGGTTTTAATTTTTTCACACAAGTTTGTAGACAGTTAAAAGACGATTCTAATCAAGTTTTCTATTGAAGTTAATGACCTGTACAATCACTTTCATGTACTTTATGACGTAATTATTTCGGGTATGTGAAATGAAATAATTATAAATAGGGTTCGGGACTTTATGCATTTATAAAATTTATTTGGATCACTATCGAAAAACACAACTCCATGAAAATTTGTCATAGGTATATAGGGTGTTCAATAAGTATGTTTCTATCGTTCTCATTGTTTGAACCAATTGGCCTGTTTCCTTATTTACTGAACACTGTATACAGTGATACATAAACGTTTTTTCTTCTAGATGAGTGATCTCCCACGCTCCCCTAAAACTAAATAACATACATTGAGTAGGATTCAGAAATGAAAAGTGAATATTTATTTATTATTGATGTACTAAAATACACTTTATAATCGTATTAAGTTCCAAATCTTAATTATAATATTTTTATATTCTACTAGTTACACTATCATTGAATCAACTCGAAAATAAAAATTTTGTAAAAGTAATTTCATGAGAACTCGTAGGTTCTTATGGATGACAAATTATCAGGTTATTATGTAAAAGGTGTGCTTAATAAAATTGTGTTGCACATTCTGTGTAGGATGCTAATTACAAGGATTTTATTTAAATTTTTTAGTCAACTCTTTAAAATTTTGGTCAATGTATGAGTATAAGAATATCTATCGTAAGTGATTTATCATTACCTAAATTATTCGAATAATTATGTAATTTATAATATCTTGAACTCGCACATTCAATTTTTATCATATTTTTAGTTTTTTAAATATTTTTTACTATTTCCAAGACTCAAAAAGAAAACGTTAATGTGTTTAATTTTAAATTATGGTGTGTAGTATACAATATGGATTAACGTATACTTTCAAAAATAATTATCAAGATTAGTTATTGATTAATTTATCAAAACTAGTTGTTGACTAGTTTTGAAATCAGTAAAATATAATCATAGATATAAGTTTATTTTTTAAAACTTCTAAATACTTAATTTTCAAATTACATGTTTTCCAATAATTACAGTGTTATATAAACCTCGTAGAGTACTCGATAAATCAACACCATTGCAATAGTCGGAAGAGTTCAATATTCAAAAAAAAAAAAAATATTATGTTTCGCTCAAATAGACCATCAATGATTACATAGATTTTTTCTAATTATTAATTATCGTATTCTATTACTGTGATGTACGAATATATACATAATACGATGTCTGCTTAGAAAGCATGAATATATTGGAGTCTAATTGTAGTTCCATAATTTTGAACACTAAACGTTCAATCTATGTGATTAGTTTCGATGATAGTACTATTAAATGTTGGATTTAAGTGAATAAATTTATTTCTTAAGTTTCTTCTTTGCACTAGCTTATAGTTTACTTAAAATACCTGAATTGATTTAATATAAACTAAGCCCTACAGGACATAGCTACTAATGTTTCGTAAGAAATAATTGGACAGCAATATTAACACTTCATATTTTTCCTCGTTTTAATCCCAACTACTTGGGGCCGGCCAATATTAACACTTAAATTAAAATTTAGGTAAAATTGTGCGCAGTAATGATTCTTATATATATAACTAATATGCATTTTCACCAAATAAATAAAAATTACCATCGTATACTTAGCATAAGTTTTGCTTTCTAGCTTATTGTTGTTATCACATTGTTTGGTTCTTATATATTCATTTCTTATAAAACATGTATTATCAATTAAGCCTACTCAAGTATTGTATTATACTTTACATTGTTGATTGGCGTTAAATAAATAAATAAATATTAATAATAGAAGTTAGATTAAACAAAGTCGAAAGAAAATATCAGCCAATCAAAACAATTAAGTTGAAAAGTTTAAGTATATTATTTCAACAAAACATTTCATCATGTTATGTTTACTTNATATCAACAAAACATTTCATCATGTTATGTTCACTAATGATATGGTCTTTATAATTCTGAATATGTACTTATGATCTTTGAAGGAATATTGTATAAAAAATTAATTTCTTTAATGCATCATACAAATGATATACATACAGTCTATATATCACGATATATATAACAAGATGTCGTTTTATACAATAAGTTTCATCAGTTATGCGTTTATAAATATTTGAGTGAATAGATACTTTCATAATATCACTAATGTAATAATATAGATACATATTTTATTAATATTCATGATCATTATCATGATTAATATTTAAATCATTAATTATTGACAATCATCGAACCGACAATTTAAATTAAAATAGCATGCTATTAGCATTTTATTGGAAAAATTACCTAATTAACTGACTATATAATACATAAGCATGTAAACTTCTTAGGTAAAATATTTGCTCATCTTAACTATATAAAACCCTAACGTAATATCATTGCAAATTAATATCGCAAAAATATTCATGAAATCCTATTTTCTTTTCACGAAGACTTCTTAAAGATATGAATGATAAACTCTAGTCTACTTATAAAGACTATTTTTTAACTATTGTTATTCAAGTTTTGTTCGAAAAAATAATTTTTAGACTTATTTTTGACCGTTAAAATGTTCAATACATACGATTTCATTAGAAAGAAACTAGTGATTAGTTTTAATTTACAAAATGCAATAATTTAAATAATTTTTCTTTGATTTCTTTTCAATTATCAGATTAATATAAAAAAATAATAATATTATACGTTTGACACAAAGAATATTTTGCATGTTCAAATAACTTCTATAGCTGTTTGATTTAATGAATATTTACACGTTGAAACATATTGAATGCAGTATTAAATTTAAATTTAATAAATTTGAAAGTAACTAATTACTCGAGTTTTACTTCTAAGTTATATGGTTAATCATGTATTTCAAATTATTTGCTGTAGAAAACTACTTTTATTACAAAATACATAAAAGTATATTTTCAAATAATATAAAATAATTTAAGTTAAAAACCACACCAGAAAAATATACTTGATTGACAGATATTAAATGTGCTTAAAAATATTGATAAGTTTATAAATGTATATAATGAATAATTCATAAAAAAAAGTAACACACTTCAGTTATTTCAATAAAACTGGTATAAAATGTATTGTGGTAAATGCGACATTGATTACATCTATTTTTTAATCGTTAAAGAGGCTTATTTTTCAGATAAACAGTCATATTTTATTTCAATGTATCTCAACAGTAAAATCTTAATATTAATAATTTTATCGATTAATTGTTTTCATTTATAAAACCAGTAAATAATTATTATTTTAGAGAATACAAATTTGTCAAATCGCATTTTAATGATAACTAGTTGATTAAATAAATAAGTATAATCAGTATTATTATAGTGTAGCAAATAAGATTATAAAGTAAGGTAACTTTATATTTGGAAGAATATTTATTTTTTATAAATGCCGAAATGAACTCAACTTTTAATAAAAAAAATTTTGTATACGCTTATATATACGCATTAATATATTCCAATATATTTGTGGCTATAAAGTTGAAACGGAATAACATTAAATACTCTCAAACTATGTATTTGAATCGAGCAATGTAAGTTTATAGTAATTTACCAAGATAATAGTAGAAAAGACTGCATTAATCAATTAGTTGACAAACCCTTATCACACTTAAAGACTTTTAAAGAATAATTAGAAGCAAATTGTCATTGACTACATCATAGTTAATTTGAATATAAAAATTTATTTTACATTTATTTTAAGAAATTGTTTCAGTACAATTTTTCCACTCAATGTAAAAGTAATTTATTGGTATTCTTCCCTTTGATATATAACTATTCAAATTTTTTTTTTTATTTTTATTTTAATTGGGATAAAAATTAATCCATATTCTAATTAGTAAGCTAAATAGAATATGTAGCAACTTGATCAAGGCAATGAACCAGTTTTTTCAACTGTAAAGTTTCTTATTTATATTGTAGATTTCTCTATTTTAGATTTTATTATCACAGTAAAATTATTTTCGCAGGAAAGGATGTTTGCTCCTTACTGGTCTTTTTTTTAATGATATATTTTTAATAATAAGTTCATTCTAGGCAAGACATTACCAATAATTTTGTCCAATTCTTTCAATAAATTACTGAGAAAATAAACTTCATATATTAGATAAATAAAATAACTCATTTGTTTGTAAATCGGGTAGATCATTATTCTAAAAATCAATTGATGTTAATAAACTTAGTTAGTATTACTAACAATATTCACTTATGGAATTCAAAATTGTATGTTATTAATATGAGGTTATTATTATTGCTAATATATTTTTTATTAATATAATATTTGGCTGTCAGTAATAATTAAAATTATATTTAAATTTAGAGTTATTACAACATTTATGAGGTATCCTAATAAGTAGAACGATCTAGTTATTTGTTAAGCACTGATAATTATATTGAAATAATATTTTAATAATATGTAAGCAGTTTTGGTCGATGACTTTGTTGAAATCATATTTGCACTAAATGCATATATTACTATAAGTTTGACCATTACTCTAAGTTACAAAACAAAGTAATATCCCATACGATATATATTTAATAGCCCACAAGTTATAAATATCCAGGTCGAAAGCCTGAAGCAGTAGATCAATATAATATGCGATCATTTTTTAAATAAGTATTATGCATGACTTAAGTAAACGATCTAGTGCAAAGGTAAACTAGTAAGTTTGTGTCAAATTTACTGAAATCGATTTCATAATAGCAAAAGTCATTGTGAAAGTTTTCATGGTTTCAATAAACATTCCATATGCATGGGCACACTATGATTAGTTTGTTCGTCGTATGATATTGTTTTATTAATAATTAGTCGACAATGCAGTAAATGATTTTTACAGAACGGTAAAATAGCTGTTATTATGCATGCCGCTGTTCATCAGCGTAGGCGTTTTCGCAGCTCGCTCTTGTAACTCTCTCCGTAAAACACTGTTATCCGTATTGTGTGTCCTGTGTTGGCACAATATGATTATTATTGCGTTATTTTATTATTAGTTAATAGTTCCTGTTGCCGATCACCTATTTATATAATTTTTATTAAAATAGAATCAAGTAAAATGTATATAACACAAATTAAATCAAAGAAATTAAGTGAAAAAATAAATTAAACTTCCAGTTACTTAGTAAACTAGTTTTTTTTTAACAGGGAAGTGAATTTAAATGTTACCTTACTTGGTCATAACATTTTTACGATTTTTTTTTTGGCTGAGCGACAACTTTTCTAAACGTACGTAGATAGATAAAATCGCACGTGGTTCTTATTCAAATGTTTTACTTTAGTTGATGATATAATTCAATAAAAATATCTGGTTTTTGTCAACAAATAGCAGATTTCCGCCGAATATTAAAATCATTTGTGAGTTAAGTTTTTAAACTTAAAAAATAAAATTTAATATGACTGACATTGAAAATTACTTAACGCATTGTTAAAAAGAGTACATAATAAAGTAACTAATAATAGTAAATTGATGTTATTATTTTTGTCTATTGATTATATTACCTTGAAGATGAAATATTTTTGAGGCTGTGAAAGTTTAAGTTGTTACCAAAGATAAATAATTTAAACCTTATTATGATTATTGTTGTGAAGAAATGTATAAATTTCAAATACAGGTACCTTTTGTATTTGAAATTTATTTCGTTGATATACTTTCTATATTAACCGGTAAGGTAACATAACATAATTATTTAAACAATGTTCGTGTGGGATAAATAACGGATATTTTACTAAGGCTTTGAGTAAAACAGGATATTAATAGCTTTATTTTGGTTAAAGAACATATAATTGATAATGAAACAATATATAGTACATCAATGTATAGGTGTCAATAAGAAAGTGAGATTATGAAAGATATCGATAACGAATTAGTAGTAGTTGTTAGAATTTTATTGTATTGTCATACTTTTTTATAAAATAAATTACAAATTCAATGTGGATTCTAATTTAGGTGCATTGTATTCACTGTGGTAATTAAATTACTGGCAAAGAATGTTTCTATTTTCAATCAATTGATTGATTTATATTTCCTTATTTCGTCAACTTTTATCTATTTGATAATAATCGCAAAAATTAATCAATAATCTTTTATCTTTTTATCATTAAAAAATTTATTGTTTTTTAATTCATGTAAAAATAATAAATATATGTACATTTTCAATGTAGGTTTGAAATTTTTTTATTTTTTTTTGGTATCATGGACATTGTGAGAGCTTTCATAGTGTATTATAATTTAATTATAAAGTAATTTTTTCATCTTTATGCGCCTTAAATATACAAAATAAAAAATGTATAACTTTTGATTCTCAAGTTAAAATAATTAATAGAAATACTATTTACTTTGATGTGTTAATTGATTTTTCTAAAAAAAATTTTTTTATTTTTTCCGAGATTGTAGATTTCTATGTATTCACTATTTTTAAATATTTTAAAAATCTTTACTTGACCTACTTAGCTTACCCGGAAACGTGTGGTGCAATGATAAGAAGGTACTAGGGTTCGTATCCGTTACGCTGGACTGTGAAGGTTTTGGGTCCTCTCTGACACAAACATAGCTTTTCAATGAGGACGTTAATGAAAAATAAAGTAATAATAATAACTGTAAAAAAAAATATATATATATGTATATATACTTTAGATCTCTAAATAACTTAAAATAATATAATAACTTCACGTTATGAAAACAAGTTATGAGTTTCAACAGAACTGTAACATAATTCAGTTGTATTTCTTAGTCACTTGAAATTGAAAACTTTTTTTAACGCAATGCAATTATTACAAAGCTGAATTATGAAGATTTTATTTATATATTTAATTTTTTATTTTTATAATCTCGTCAAAAGTTTAATTTCTATATCAGAATAAGACAAAAAGGTCTGGGTCACCAAGATCTACTAAACAACATACTATACGTTACATAAATGTACAGTTGGATGATTAATGGAACGAACAGGTTATTAATCATTAAATATTATTAAGATATATATATATCAGAATTTTAATTTTTGGAAGAGTAAAATAACAGCAAACGTTAATAAAATAAAAGTATTTTAAGGTTTCTAAGAAATAAATTATTTTTTCTAATATTTACGTAGAACGAAAATTTAAAATTCAAAACAAAACAAATTAATTAAGAAAATTACTGGTTGATAACGACTTTTTGAACAGTATTTCAGAAGTTATTAACAATTAAAAGTAATGACTGGAGGTGAGATTGGGTGTTGCTATTTTGATTACTAATCATTTCCCGATTATACCTTCCTCCCACTAAGGTATGAAAATGAGAATAATTTCCAAAATACTAGTTCAAAAGTTGTTATAGACTAGTAATTTTCTTAATTAGATAATTTTCTATCAAATAAGCTAGTTCAATATGTATGTTCCCATTTAAAAAAATTAAGCTGACACACCTTAAAGTTATAAGGGGTGATTCTAAAAAATCATTATTAGCTGATAAATTAAGAAATATATGTGACTAAAAGAAATACATTTTTTTTCTAATATTGTGATTATTATGTGAGTAAACGAGTGGTTTATGATAGACCCATCTCTTTGTATATATATATAAATAATCAAGATGAAAGTAATCCGTAAATATAAGATTATTATCACTTAACTATTAATGAAAATATAATATCTACTGTTTATCCAAGTCTGGTCAAATTTTGTATTAACTTCATTTAGTGACTTATTATTTTCAGTTTCTTAAGTCTAAACAATATTAATGTTTGAGCATGTAAGTTTTTTTGATTTATTGATGATACAGCTAACTTTCCTTAATTCAGTAAACTTGTACTATATAGGTAATAATATTTTTAGAGTTATACTTTTTTTATGAGAAAACTAAGAAAACAGATTATTATTACAAACAACTTTTAATGAACAAGTCTAAGAAATGTTATGAGGTAATAATACTTTCATTTTGGGATGACCGGAACTAGCTGGTATCATGATAAACGTGTTTTGTAATAACTTCCAACTAAACTGATATTAAACTTTCTCTCGATACATAAAATAAATAAATGACGATGACGATCAAAACAAAAAATCATAAATATAATTCATTGTTTAGTATTATTACCATGCTTCAATTATTTAATTGTTTCATTAAAATAAATAGCAAACTTATACAGTGACGAATTATTATTCACCCTAAGTATCGTTTTCTAAACAAACGTGCGAAGTAATTTGTTGGCAAAGCTATTTAAAAAACACATTCCTATATATTACATAATTAAATTTCGGTGTCTAATTTTTTTGTTTTATTTTCGTAGATTTCCGTGTGTTTACTAGTGACATTTGCTTTAATATTGTGTACTGTCAAAGCGACCGAAGAAGAGTCACCAATCGACGATGTCAAATTAGATAATTCTGAAGAAAGTGAAGATGTAAGAACAAAACGTTCAGGAGATCTTTTAAGTTCATTAACGTCTAAGAAACTAAGTCTCCTAGGCTCTCTGTCAGGCGGTAAATCATTTGCAGTACCAGACCCACATTATGGAGAACAGCAGCATCTGGTAAAAAAATAATAAAATTTTTATATAAAAATTATTTTGTCGGACTTATTATTTTTTTCTTTTAGTCTTACCATTCAAAACCTTCGTTTGATTTGTGGGGTATTAAGAAAGCAATCATGTCTTCAGTATTTCAAGCTGCAAAAGCAATAACTGGTGGAGTGTTGGCTCTAAAAGGACAATTAATAAAAGCCAATGGACACATGGTTGTAGCTAAAGGAAAATTGTTGCAAACTAAAGGAGAAGCCATAACAAACTTTGGCAAAAGCGTCGCCACTCACGCGTTTGATTCTGGAGAGTATCATCATCAATACATTCCACAACAAGTCCATGTGCCCACCCGTAACTAAAATTAATAAACTATTTTACAAAAATGAATTCATTTTATGTCAAACTTTACCTTAACTTATAGAATATGGAGCTGTAGGATATGGACCCTCTGCTTTTGCAGGTCATAGACCGAACTATCCTTCAGCTTATGGTGGCCAAAGTGACTACAGTGGTGAAGACATTAACGCTTTTGCAAATCAAGGTTTCTCATCAAAACGAGCAGTCCATGCCGTTCCTGCTCCAGTAGTTGGATCATCTAACTTCATTCGAAATGCATGTAAGTATTAACTTTTTTCATTATTTTAAAATCATTAAATACATTTGGTCAACTTAAGCTAATAATTATAATATATTTAAAAAAATTCCAACAAATTATGACAAAAAAAAAAAAGAGTATATAATAAATTTAAACTATGTAATGTTCACTTTGATATTATATTGTTACAATATAACACATAAAACTATAAACTATACTGTTATTATCGGTATTTTATAATTATTATGCTATCTAAATATTTCATTAGGATCAATCAATTTAATAATACAGTCTTATATAATTTACCAAAATCTTAAACATATCTAATGTAAAACTATTTGTGTCAAATGTAATTATAGATATTATACTTAAAACCTACTTCTTTAATTACCACCAATTAAATTATTGATCATACGTAATCATTATAAATATCATCTTATCTTTGTGAAATTTTTAATAGATAAAAAAATAAAATTTAATAAATCAATATTTGTTAAAATTTAAGTTTTAAAATATTTCAATGAAATTAAATATACTTATATTCATAAAATGTTATTTTTCTAGTTGATAAAGATGGAGTTCATGCAGGTCTATTGATTTTAAAACCAATTAAAATGCCTCTTAATAATCAATATGTTCAATCGCAACCCAATTTCCAACAAAACTTTGGATATCAAGCTCATACAAATGGACATCAAGTTCAGAATAATCTTTATAGAAATAATGCATACCAAATTCCAACCACTAGCTTTGGTGGACAAACTACGGCCAACAATTATTTAACAAATGGTATACAAAGTCAAAACCACTTGTACCAACCTCAAACCAACAGTGAAACCGTTCAAAACTTAGCCTACTCATTACAAGGCATTAGCAACCATGCTAACTCTCAAATAGCTAGTCATCAAAATGTGGGACTTTCTGCCCAAGCTATTCCCCAACCTCAAGTGAATTACGGTGATCAATATAATTCAGCATCTGATTATCAAGAAAATGTTGCGGAACCAAATTATACAAATCTTTTTGAAAATGCATATAAAAAAGACCAGCAAAAAATTAACCCTGAAAAGTTAGTTTCAAATTATTTCAATCCAACTAAGCCTTCGTCTAATTACCAATTATCAGAAGAAGACGGTTTAAAAGTGAAATCCAATGAAGATTTTGTAATTAAAGAAATCGCATCTCCTTCAGAAGAAAAAATTGTGCCATTAAAATATTCTAATGATTCAAGTCCAGAAGATCAGGCTAAATTAAAACAAACAGTTCAAAGATTTTTCAATATGTTGCAAAAAAGGCAATGTAATTATTTTTTATATTTTATTAAATTAGAATTGATAGCATGCTTAAGTTCATATTAAATTAATAATAATTAGTGTAATTGCAATGGTTTGCAAGGTTTGTTGAAGACAGTTTTTGTTAAAAAATTTCCTTTATATTATTATTTTTAATTTTTTTTGAAGCCAAAAAGTACCAGACATTTGTTGGGTTCATTCGATGAAATTAGTTATAACAAATATTATTTTCTTTATAAAATCAGATTAAAGCTTATTCTACAGAGTCACGAAGATATGAAAAATCAAATAATTTTTCATTTAATGATCATTTTACTGTAACTTTTAAAAAAAAAAATATTTGCAATTGTCGGATTTTGTTAAAAGTATAATTGTTCTTTATCTCTAATCAGAAACTATAAAAATAGAATTATTTTTTCTTTTAATATTTTGGCGAGTACTTACAACTGGTTTTACTATTGTATATGCACTAAGATCACGATATATACCTACTGTGTGTATTAAATTGTTTGTAACATAATAAGAACTTATTCTTAAGCTGTTTTTAACCCATAAATTTTTTTGTTAAAAAGTGCTAAAATAGCTAATTTAAAAAATTTATTTATTTAATTTTTTTTAGAGACAAATAATAAAAATTATACTTGTAACGTAGCCTAAATTTGCGAAAATTGTAAAAAAAAAATGAAAGAAATTAGGATTTTCATATTTTAGTTACTTGTCTTGTATTTCATTGGAATACTTAATAATTGACAATATTATTTTTATAATATCATACATTTATTTATATTTATTGATATTAATGTTAAGTAATTTATTTTTCAGCATAACTTTGTTACAAGAATAGAATTAATCCAGAAAAAAAGAAATCAAACACGCATAAAACCTTAAAGAACTGTGAATGATTACGTGTTTAAATTAGCTAGTCATTTTTTAAAATATTATTTTGTTTGTATTTGTACAAAATATAATTAGATTATTAACTTTATATTCATGCTTTAGTACTCAAAATGTAAAACGTATTGCTCAAAATGAATTATGCAGATCATTTACAATTGTTTTATGATAAAAAATAATTTATGTTTATTACATAATTATTCTAATTTACTTGAATTATTATAAATATATTAATATAACAAAATAAAAGAATAGCTTTTGAAAAACGGACTTTGTGAAAATAGAACTAAGACAATTAATAAATGTAAACTAAATAGTATTACTTTTTATTGATAATCTATATATGGGCTTATTACATTACATAAAGCGTAAACTATAAGTACTAGAAATAAATATTCTTTAGATTTAGTGAAAATAATTTTATTGTACATTTTGTATATTATAATATGGCATAATAATTTATCATTTTCTTTTCAACTGATTTTATATGGTATATTTGAAAATAATTGGTATGTTACTCAATAAAAATAACGTTTTTAGAGATTCAAGTTGTACTTATTTTATATTGTCTATGAAAATAATAATTTTCATTGACAAAATCATTTTTATCAATCAATTTTATAAAATTTCAACGTTTGCGTCGCTGTTATAACTTTTTTAAACATGTTATTATAAATTTTATTCAAAAACCAATCACATTAAAAAGTTAAATTTATATTAATAATATTATTATTTATCAAACAAGATAAAATTTAATTACAAAATTTCTGATGTTATTATTGAAAAATGTGCTATTTTAACATAAAAATTAATAGTTTTGTAAATATACGTGTAACAAAGATGGATAAAAGTAAGCGCACTTATACTTTTATAGTTTGTTTTACAAAAACGCAACTATATATTTTATTATTTTCAAAAATTACTAATTTTAATTTTAAGCTGAATGTCTTTTTTAATCAGAACGGTTTGTTAAGTATAAAAATTGAGTTAACTGTAACAAAAATTGAATTCTAAATTTTACAAATTTGTTTGTAGATTTTCTTTTATTTCATACTAAATTTTTGGTTTTATAGTTTCATGCTATTTGAATAGTATTAACAATGTCTCATTATAATAATTGAATAAATCAGTTGAAAATAACGTATTTTTTACTTGTTTAAAATTTAATATTAAAAACTTAAACTATGTATTATTATGTTATTATTATTATTATTTTCATAAGTTTTTTATAAATTTAATTGTCTTCAATTTTATTTAAATTAATTTTCTCATTAATTGTTTCTCTCATTAATTATTAATGGTTTATCATGCAATAGATTGTTGGAAGTTCGAAAGCATAGGTTAAATTGTACTTACCTTACGGCCTATGTACTACAATAATATTTCAAGTAATCCAGTGTTGATTTCCACATTAAACGCACTAAGTATACGATTTACACTAAACGTCATATAGTCTATATAATTACTTACAAAAAAATCGATTCAAGACTTTAAATAATATGATTTAATTACACAAAGTCTACAATTGGTCTTACTTATAAATGATTCTGAACACTCTGTATTTTATTATAAATACAATTTTAATTTTTTTTACTTATTGATTTTTTTTTTACGTCTGTTGAATAAATATTTTTTTTTTGAGAGATCGATACCAATATTTCTTAAATTTTCCTCTGGCCTGGCCAAAACAAGATTCAGAAATATCTATATCTATGTAAAAAATTTATCAAGGCAGAATTGTGGTGGCCCAATGGGTCCCAGCACTAGAATGCGCCTTGAAAGGATGCGGCACAATAATCACCAAGATAAAAATTAAACACTAAAAATATATTCCTAAGTTTCTCTACGTTGTCTGCCGTGCGCGATGTTTGTTAAAACAAAGACATTAGCAACGAGACTAGCTACCCAATAAGAAAAGCTCAGAATAAATTTTTATTATTAAATAAAAATCTAAAGTTAGGTTGGATTTGTTATTAAAATAAAATAGTTTTAAGAAGATGTAATGTTTAAAATATTATTTGATATTCATTTCCACAACAAGAAAAATAAAATATTATTAATGATTGAACAAATTAAATTAAATTAAAAGATTCACCAAAACAAAATTCACTTTAAAATTTCTAAGTGTCATTTAGTTTCAAATAAAAATATTCTAAAATCAAATTAATTAAAAAAAACGACCAAGTCCCGGAAAGTGAAATCTTGAGTAAAACGTCGTAGATTTTATGTATTTTAAAATCATCAAAAGAACTGGTTTAGATGGGGCAAAATGGCTTTTTATAGTCTGAAGGGGGTAGCCCAGCGATCTCTACCGTGATCCTGAAAGCTGAGACTTTGTATACTAATTGGTTAATTAAAATTGGGTCCTTGCGTGTAGGCGTTACTTAATAATTTCTACAAGAGGGAGATTTTATCGTATAATTAAAGGGTTATTTTGTATCTTAAATAAGAGAACCCTGTTTTGGTGTCTTGAATAATCATAATATGTGACATACATGTACAAATGATAACATCATATTATATGTTAATATTATATGTAATAATATAATTTTACAAAAAAATTACTAAAAAAATTGTGGATACGCAAAAATTTGATAATATTATTTAGTGATAATGTCTCTAGGTGATAAGGTCACTAGGGGTATATAAGAGAGTTCTTTTCGGTGGGGATGTTAGTATGTCTTAAGTGTTGATAATGGTAACATTGTTCCCGAAATACGTATCCCCGATTTTTTAGTAATTTTTTATGGTTTTTTGGGTCTAATGTAGTTTAAATTTTAAATAATATTAGCCAGAAGTGATCATTTTTTATTATATTATCAAAAAATTCAAAATTTATATTATTTTTATTTCATGTAAATTGATATTTTTTAATTATTACCACGTAATGTTAGTAATTAGAACTAATTTAAAATTTACTATTTCAATGGATTAACCCCAAAAATGCTTCTTTAAATAAAAAGGGCCTTATCATATCGATAGCCATTTTACGGTGAATAGGCACAATAGTAAAATGAAGTTAAAGAAAAACATATGTTAAGAATCACCTTAGAAAAGCTCTATAAACAGCGATTAAATATTTTTTTATGACTCCTTTGTTCAGTTATTTCATTTGTGTAGTATTATTATTATACGTTATTAAAAGGGGACAAAATTTTTTTATTTTGACAAAAACAATACAAATTGCAATATTTAAATTCAAGAATTTATTTATCAATTCCTTAAATTTTATTATAATAAATTTTTTTCATTTACTTACGAATAGCTATAAGTAATATGTAATCAGTATGGCTATAGACCCATGTTGATACAATTTAGTGCTAACGGTTTTATTTAACTTGTCTATGTATATAGCAAATAGACAAGTTGTATATAATTTATAAATCCAATATTTGTATTTCTGAAATTTTCTTGACCTACAAGTTATGATTTCTTTTGTTATTTTAAAGAATTATTTTTAAGGTAATATAAAACATCTTAAATAATCTAGGCTGATTAAATAGTTTGAATTAGAGTTTTATTCCAGTTAAATTTTTTTGGTTAATTAATAATATTATGCCAAATAATTAATTTATTCAATTAGTTGCAAGGTTGATAATAAGTCTACCATGATAAATATGGAGGTAATTACATGATCAAGCCTGAAAATTAAAAATTTTAATTTTATTGACAATCTATATTATAGGTATTTTTTCTGTTTATAATGGAGATATATTTGTGTAAGAATTTTATAAAGTTCTTGCAAATATACGCAGAGAGATCGAGGAAAGTTCATTTCTCTTAAATTGATATAATTCTATCAATTAAAGTATTAACATAAAAATCCGGTGAAATTATATTCTATATACAAGGTATACCATAAGTAGAAAAATTTAACATTTCAATGGTATTTTTAGACCCCCAGGAAGTCTCGTTTCAACTGTATATGCATCTTGAACTATATAGAAATGGCATAAATTTTTGTTAAAAAAATAATCTAACTATTAGGATTTTAAATAATTGTTTAAAATATAATCCTCATAGTAGTGTCCGTACATACATTTTAGATAATATTAGCTTTAATTTAAGTACAATTATTAATAAAATTATGAAATATTTCTTAAAGTATCTTTAAGATTATTTTATGTTTATGAAATCACGACTATGTTAAAGCTTTCATAGATTGTTGTATTATTTAGAATATTTACAGATATATCCATGTCTTTAGTTTTATGCTGACGTTTCGAACTCATTGCAGACAGTACTATTACAACCACGACCTGTAACTATCATTCCGTAAATGAACTCTGCTACGATTTCAAAACATCTGAATAAAACCAAAAACATGAATACATCTGTAAATTTCATGAAAGTTTTTTAAACTTAAAAATTATATTTAGTTGTAATACGCCGTAAATTTGCTAGTTATACAAATAAATTCATGAAGTTGTTTTGTTAAATTATCTCTACTGAAATACTTTAATTTGTTTTTTAATCTATTATTAATCATGTTATGAGAATTAAATCAAATAAATAGTAAACTATAAATTACTTTTTTATAATTCATTATTCAGTGTCCTTAATTGTTCAAATAAATACTTAGACATTTTTAACTATCTCTAAAATTTAAAATTACAATGACTTGTATAAACAAATAAAATTTTCTAAAAATGTAATAATTTATATAATAAATCATTTTATTTAAAAAATTGTATTAACTCAACCTTATTAAAAACATTTCCATTTGCTTTTATGTTTCTATTTGAAAAAATATAGCTGTTATACCTTAAGGCAACTTGAATTGGTCTAAAAGTACATGACAATAAATAAATAAAGAAATATACTTATACACTTCTATACATGTATACTAATTATAAAAAGAAAAGGAATTGTTATTTTAAAAAAATATCGAGGATAACTCAACAAATAAAACAATAAATCGAGATGTTTAGTAAAAAATTTCCTTTAATTTATTTCTAAAATAAAATATATTCATAGGATAACTTTTTATTTTATAATTTCATTACTTTAAATTAAAATATAAACTATGTGTTCTTTAAATAAAATTAAACTTTTATACAATAACAAGCAATATTTTTTTAAATACTTACTTTTATTTACATAGATCTAGATGATTAACGGCTAAAAAATATCACTTTCGAATTACATATCGTCACCTTAGTCACTTTCATAATATAAAATCTGTTTTCTCATATTTTTCTGTATTATTAGAGAAATTTAAATTTAATGTATTAAATTATATTATTTTTATCAGTACAAACATATATTTGCACACTAAATTTATAGTAAGTCACACTATCCTATACCAAAATTCTGATTAATGTATTTGAATATTATCTTTTGTTACTAATATTGTTTGAATTTTATGTAATAATGTTGTTATATTAATGCGTTATTATAGCACTGACTTAATCTATGAAAAAACGTAGAGTTTTAAGAGTTTC